CATTCATTCATTCATTCATTCATTCATTCAATCATTCATTCATTCATTCATTCATTCATTCATTCATTCATTCATTCATTCAATCATTCATTCATTCATTCATTCATTCCTTTCGTCCGTCAGTCAGTCAGTGATTTCAGGTAGATGGTCAGGTAGTCAGGTAGCCAGGCGGTGAATAAGCTTGATGTGGAAATCGCCTGAACTTTTCTTTATTATGAAGGTACTTCCAGAACTTTCCCAATAGAACTTCTCTTAAACTCTTGAATTTACAGAATGTGGATCGTAAAAAAAATTGGGTAGAAATGACATGTCACATTGGGAAAAGAACACAATCGAGGAACAAAAAAGAACACCAATAAGCATTGGCTAGTTTCAGTTGTACCTGGTAGGTTTAATGCCACTGACAGTAGCTGAGTCAAGGTGTCTACTTTGTCGTTTTCTGAACTTGAAGCATCCCTTAGCAACAACTGAAGTGATTTTGAAAATGGCTTAATTGCTTCCTGGTATTTCTCTCGTGCAAAGAGACTAGAGCCCAGTCGGTATTGTGCCTGCATGGAGTAGAATATTATAAAAATATTAAAAAATAAATCAAGGAAACGAGACCAGTCTGTGCTTAATTATGGAGGGGGTGGGGGAGAAAAAAAAAATAACGAACCGTGAACTATAGGTGTCGATAAGTGGGCTCAACAGAAGCGAAGGACACGATTGCAGGATGACTTGTTATCCATTGTATTCTTGTGATGAGCCCATGCATCGTTGTAAATGATATAACTTGTACTAACATTATAAATCAGTGCCAATATGCAATTTATGCTTTCATTTGCAATTAGCGTTGAGGGGTTAGTCCACTGTTACCATGCAGATCGACACCTTTGTATCTGTTTACACCGTGCGTTTTCTATCGCCGCGCCGGGATTTTGGATCTGAATGATCGTACATTAATAGGAGTGCACAGTCCCTCTCCATGTTCAAAACACTTTTTTGACCACACGGACAAATATTTTAAATATTTTAATATAAATATTTTAAACTTTTTAAATTGTAAATTCCCTTTAAGGCCTACCTGTACACCTCTGAAGAACAATCTTTATTATAGCGTGGCAAAAATGTTGGTTTTGAACGCGATGGACTAGCCTTATCCCATCTAGGAGATGGGATTTGGAGAGGGGTTGAACTTTTAGTCGGTTTATGATGCGGAAACTGGAGTTAAATCTTTACTTTACCTTAGACCAATCTGGCTTACTATCTACGCAGTCTTGAGCATCTTTCAGCGCCTCTTCAGCGTTTCCCCGTTTTTTGTACATCAAAGACCGATTGGAGAAAATAGTTGCTCTGAGATCTTTTTCGTTTCCCGGTGTAAATTTCAAAGCAAGTGTGTAGCAGGCAATCACCAGATCCAATGTATTTGCTTCTTTAGAAGAAAGAAGTTGATTACCACGCTCCTTCCATCTCGCACCTTCCTCCTGAGACCGAGAGATAAAAAACAATTTCAGATACCTACACAAATGGAAATTCTTAAAACTTCATTCTATCCCTTTGCAGGTGAATAACCAAGGAAAGGCAGCTTTGTCGGTCACAAGCGGTAGAGCCCATATTTTGGCATGGCTGTATCAAAAACCTTTCTCTTTAAGGGTCAACGGAGTAAATAATTACAATTTGCACTGGCTAACAGGCAACTCTAACAGGCTTTGTCATTTT